TTAAAGTCCTTAAATTTTAACTTTATGGTGTATTTGGGCGTATTAAAACGTTTTTATTTTTTATGATTTTATTCGTTTATTGTTTCTTATCTAAGTACTTGATAAACTATTTATTGCCATTTCAATAAGTAATTGAATTGTTAAATTTTAGGGGAAGTTTACGTACTGGATGATGGGGGCGAAGTGGACCTTGATTTAGGAAATTACGAACGTTTTTTAAACATCACTCTACATCGTGACAACAACATCACAACCGGAAAAATCTATCAAGCCGTGATTGAAAAAGAAAGACACGGAGATTATTTAGGCAAAACCGTTCAAGGTAAATCAACTTATTCATCTAGTGTTTATAAAACTAAATTTATTTTTAACACATCAGTTGTGCCACATATTACTGACGCTATCCAGGAATGGGTGGTCCGTGTAGCGAAAATTCCCGTATCAGAATCGGGAAAAATCCCCGAAGTTTGCATAATAGAATTGGGAGGAACGATCGGTGATATTGAAAGCATGGCCTTTGTTGAAGCATTCAGGCAATTCCAGTTTAGAGTCAAACGAGAAAATTTCTGTGTAGCTCATGTCTCTCTTGTACCCCAGGTAACAGTAGTGGAAAAAATAATGTATTCTTTTCGGTCACTGTACTATTTTAGCCTCGCACAACCGGTGAGCACAAAACAAAACCCACCCAGTCTTCCGTACGAGAACTCCGAGGGCTCGGCCTCTCCCCCGACATTATTGTTTGTAGATCAGAGAAACCAATAGGTCAGAATGTCAAAGAAAAAATATCGAATTTTTGCCATGTCGCTCCCGAGCAGATAATTAGTATTCCGGACTTGCGTTCAATATATGAAGTTCCGGTATTTATGGAATCGCACGGTATTGCCGAATATCTTTGTAGTCGATTGGATTTAGGAGTGAAACTTTTGCCTCCCATGAGGAAATACATGAGGCAATGGATCGAGCTTACGGAACGCATTGAGCATTTAAAATATGAAGTTAATGTGGCTTTAGTAGGGAAATACACAAGATTGGAAGATTCGTATACGTCTATAACCAAAGCATTGCAACATGCTGCCAATAAGATTGGGTATAAAGTTAATATTAAATTTATCGAGGCTTCCAATTTGGAGAAAGCGATGTTGGCGGAGGATCCGGCGGCTTATCATGACGCTTGGCATCAGCTTTGCAAATGCGAGTAAGTATTGGTTAAATTGTTTTGTTGATTTGGTTTAAATTGATGTTAAAAAGGCGAGGTTAATGTGCCGTTGATGTGGTAAAATTTCTAGAAATGTTTTTTGTATTGTTTAGTTAAAATATTACCTATTTAACTCTAATCAATTCTTATAAATTATTAAAAATGGAACACGATTTGAGTCAAAGTTGACGTCAATTTGCTATTTAAAACGGGAGACAAAGGGGTCAGATTCCATCGTCGGCAAACTAAAATTAAAAATTGATTGTAGGTCTTAACAGAATTTAATCTTGTATAACAATATGAAAATTTATTTTTAAACAATTACTGGTTCGTAAATATGATTAGGTATTTTGGTTTAGCAAAAAATGGAAGTTTGTAAAATTTATGGAAACAGTAATTTGGTGTCCGATATTTTATCTAACTTCCTTGATAAAGAAGTATCAAGAGAACTATGTAAACGATATTTTATTGGTTTAAATGGTTATGAAATTTAATAAGTGTGTGATCTGAAATCACATCTAGATAAATATTTTCCTCTCTTTTTTTCCAATTTATTCTTTATCTTCTGTTTCTATTCTATTCTTACTGTAGTATTTTTTGTCCTATATGCTCAATCTTCTAATATCTATTTTAATCTTTATTCTCTTTTTTCCACTCTGTGATTTGTTTTCTCTGTTTTTAATTTTTTCTATATTTAATATTGTTTTTTAATTTTTTTTTTGGTTTCTATTCTCTATTCTAAATCTTTAGTCTATATTTACTATCGTTTAACCTCTTTCTTCTATTCTTTGTTTTTGTTCTCTCTAATCTTCTCACTTCTTCTTTTTCATTCTTGTTGGCTGTTTACACCTCTTTTTACTATTGTTAATTCTGTTTCTATCTTGTGTTTTCTTATTTTTTATTCTCTTTTTTTCTTTCACTTGGAAAACAGAGGACCAGAAAAAACAACAAAGAAGAAAAGAAATGACAAAAGATAAAGTATAGTTCTTATTTTCTTTTTAATTTTTTCTACATATACATATCTTACATTATTTGTCTTCTATTTTCTATTCTCTATCTTTAGTCTTTTATTTCCTACTTCCTTCTCATAATCTTTTAATCTCTCTCTTTCTTGTATTTGTTATCTTCTCTTTGTTCTTTGTTGCTTTCTCTTCTCTCTCTTCCGTGTCTTATCTTTATTTTGTCTCTACCTCCGGTTCTCTAATTTTTATTTTCCCCTTTCTTACTATCTTTGTTCTTTAATTTTTTTTTTCATTTTTATTTCATTTCATCCTCTTTGTTTTCTGTTTTCAGTTATCTCCTATCGCTTCCTTGTTTGCTGTTGACAACTTTCTATTTACAATTCTTTCTTTATTCTATTTTCGGTTCTCTAATTTGTATTCTTCTCTTGTTTTTCCCTTGTCCTTTAATCTTTTTCATTGTTTTCTGTTGCCCTTGTTCTTAACAGAGAACAGGAAAAGACAATAAAGAAGAAGAGACATTAAAAAATATACAGGATATATAAAAAAAGATGTTTTCTCTGTTCACAGTTATTTGTTTCTTCTACTCTGTTCTTTATTTTCTATTCTATATTTTTTATTTATTTTACTATATTTACGTAAACGCAGTTAAACTTTTACTTTTGTTAAATGATGGCATTTTGTATTCTGAATACAAAAAAATACTTTTCCTCTACATGGAATAAAATGACGCTTTATTCCTTTGCTTTGACAAATAATCTGATACTTTATTCCTTTGGGAATAAAATTAATGAAATGCTGATTTTTACTCTTAAAATGATCTACAATTGAATGACTTGAAACTTTTAAGTTTTTTAGCCTAAACAAACTTCATGATATCGATTTTTCCACTTAAATTTGCAATTGAATGAACTGAATATTTTGACAAATTATTTAAGAAATTAATGTAGTCTTTTGGGAGGAAGTCTTGTATGCATCTCTGGAATAAGCATCGTTAATCCCTTGAATGAAAACGACCTCGGCTCCTTTCAGTCGCCTCTGGCATTACCTACCTGGTGATTAAAATGGTTGTTTATTCCCTTGATACATAAATAACTATTGTTATCCCTCAGTTGATTTTTATAATGTTTTTAAAGTGTGTTACTGTTTGTGATATTATTTCCATGTTTTTAGCTGTGTTGTGGTTCCTGGCGGCTTCGGAAAACGTGGCGTCGAAGGCAAAATAGAAGCATGCAAATGGTGTCGTGTGAACTCGAAACCGTTTTTGGGCATTTGTTTGGGCTTTCAAACTGCTGTGATTGAATTCTCTCGTAACGTACTTAATCTTAAAGATGCTCATTCGACCGAATGTAACGAAACCGTGGAGCATCCTGTGATTATAGACATGCCGGAACATAATACGGGTGATATGGGAGGAACAATGAGGTTGGGGAAACGAACTACAGTTTTCAAACCAAACATTCAGAGTAAAATTAGTAAGTTTTTTTGTGCACATTGTTTGCAATAATAGACTTATTAATTGTTGAATAGAACGTCTTTATGGTAACAAGGAACAAATCGAAGAACGTCACAGGCACAGATACGAAGTCAATCCCAAGTACATTGAAGATCTCGAAAAACAAGGATTAAAATTCGTGGGGGTAGACATCGATGCAGAACGGATGGAAATACTTGAAATACCGACTCATCCCTATTACGTAGCAGTTCAATTTCATCCTGAATATTTATCAAGGCCCATGGAACCCTCACCTCCATTCATGGGTCTTATTCTAGCAGCGAAAGATAGACTTAATTCGTATTTTGCTAGAGGTTGTAAATTATCTCCTAGAGAACCACAATCGGACTATTACGATTCTGGTACGAATTAATTTTACTCGAGATATTTTGTGTTGTATGCCGCTATATTTTAGATGATGATGTCGATCATTTAACGTTGAAACAAGCGACTCTTTATTCCACAGATGAAACTGATGGAAGCAGTACTTAAATTATTCGATGGGAAACTAACATTCCAATTTTCATAGTTGCTTAAAAAATTGTGATTTTTAAATGATGGGTGGAAATTATGGTTGGTTGGACTGGATCTCAGTCAGCTTTATTATTCAATATTTTGGGCAATTACAAACTGGTCTTAATTTAAATAGATATTTAAAAAATGTTGTTTAATTTGTGAAAAATTAATTTTTATAGAATTGCATTGCATAAGGGACATTTTTTTATTTTATGGAACTTCCTTGAGTTTTTTAAGGATTTATTAATTTGGACGTCATTGGCATTCGACCCATCATTTATATTCATTATTTTATCATTTTTTTAAGCAAGTTGTTTACCAGATTCCTGTGTAGTAAGTTGTATGAGTTTATTAAGATAAGCGCAACATTATTTTGTTTATTGAAGATTCAGAAATATAGGTATTTTTGCTTTAGTCGGTGTTTTTTTACTCTACATCTAAGTGCAAAACGCACAAGAATATAAATATACTTTCAAAAAAACGAAAAACAATAAGATAATAGGTGAGGACAATTTGTGTTGAGATAATAACATTTTTTGATAAATACTTGCAGAATAATTTCAGGAACCGGAAGTAGATCAAGGTTATAGTTTTGGCCCTGCTCGTTTATTATTAATTTGTTTTTTTTAATAATAATAATTAAATTCGAAATGTTATGGTCTTAAGCTAAAACGGTTTGAATCGCACGGGCGATTTTACATAAAAAATTGTTTATCGACCATAAGAATCCACATCTTGAAAAAATTGCCACATTATTGAAATAATTATTACAGTAATCACTTTGCTGCTGGTCATTGTTTTCATACTTGCGTACACGTGTGTATAATATCTGATTACATAATTTTTTCAAAACTTAAATTTTTAATTAACTGAAGACTATATTTGAATTTTAACTCTCGTAAAAACAATTATTATTGCCACAGCGAATTTTCAAAATGTAGTACGAAATCAAATATTTACTAGGAGAGATAAAAAAATAAGAAATTTTAGTTTTAACCAATTTGTTAAAATCGATTTTGCATTCTGTTGAATTTCTTCAAACCATTGTTTATTGACATTTTAAGCCAGAAATTTTAACAAAATGTGTCAAAAAGGCATTAAAAAATGTTATCAACACAGACATTGTTCATTCTCAATCAAGATCAGGCACTTTGTGAAATACATGATATACCAAAAAGATGGGAACAAAGAGTAACCTGGGGTTCTCCAGGCCAAAATAAAGCAATTTATTCTATATGAAGTTGCACCGTTTTAAAGTTATAGGGTGCCAAAACTTAAAAATTATTTTCGTTTTTTTAAATATTTTTTTAGTGGAGAAATGGATTTTTATGAAAATTGGTACAGTCAATTTCATATCAAAACCACATGTTTGGTGATATTTCTTTTGTTTTATTATTATTGTAAAGTACTTACCTATTAACAACTTAATACATTTTAAGCCATCGTAATCCGAGTGGCATAATTGTTTTTTTTATTCGAAAGGTACAATACTTTTGAACAATTTTTGTATTTTACAAATTTTTGTATCGGCCTTGATTTTAATTAAGTAAAAAGTAATTTAATTAGACGCTTTTAAAATTGTATTAAAAAAATTGATTTTAGTTTTTTTTATGTATGCTTGTGTTAGTTAAATATAATGTAATTAATTTAAACAAAAAAAAACAGTTTCATTGGCGTCCTCTAATCTTCTAAATTTTAAACGGTACAACTTGGTATAGAATTATGTTGGGTTAAATCGCTTTTTTTTGGCTTGGGGAATTTAAGGTTACTTTTTGTCCCTATCTTTTCATTATATCCAATTATACAAAATAAATTACAATTAAAATATATTCCAAGTCGAGAGAAATAAAATCCATCAATTAACAAACTTATTTAAAACCTAGCATTTTTTTAACGGAAGTGCCAATTCCACACAACCATTGATTCATTTTAAACGAAAATCCCTGATCTGGGTGAGGTTTCCCAAACACGAAAACTTCATTAGAAACTTGCTTATTATCAGTATCTTCATCTTCTCTTGGTTTCAAAGTTACAAAAAAAGACGGAGGTTTCAAACTCGTGTTTGTTTCTCTAATCGGCTGTCTTTTTGAAATTTTTAAAGGACTAAAAATGTTGTTTTCAGCCTGCAACAAACCAAAAATAAATAAACATAATAGTACAAAAACACACGTCATACAAATGGTGATTTCCGTTTCCTCAATTTTTGACCCGGACTCAACCCAATTTCGTTATATTCCCCCAAATTTTTTCTCTTGACTGGTCTGCGTACTGTACTTTCCTTCCTCAAGGTTTTCCGGTCGTTAACAAGAGTCTCAATCGCTGATTCAATCTCTTCGACCCATTTAACCGTCTCGGAATAACTACCATCGTAAAGAACCATTTCTTCGTTTTGGCAAACCACCCTGAAAGCCCCCTTATCGTAAACCGTTTCAATTTTGCATTTAGCGAGCGGGAAAATTCCACAGCATTTCAACGAATTCACTTTAACTTCTTCTTTCTTCATTTTGCAAAACATGATAATGTCGTTCATGAGCACCACGTGTGTTTTTCGACTGTGACCAGATTTGGAGATTTGAAACAAAATTCCCTCTTTTAGTAACTTCCGGCCGGGGGTAATAACATTAGGCTCTCCGCTTAGCAAACAACGTTGCAATTCGATGAGTCTCTGCATGTTTTCCTGCTCTTTGATGATGGTGTTAATGTGGTGAGCGGCGTTTTCGACTTTGGTTAAAGAGTCTTGAAGACTTTCGTAGTCTTCATCTGAGGTGTTTGTTAGCTTGAGGAGAGACGATAAAAGGAGTTTGTAGCGCGGAACTCGCTGAATGGGGGCTATCAGAAGAGCTGAGAGTTTTGACTGGACTTCAGGCCGGGTTTCTTGCAGTTCGAGGAATTGGCCAAATTTAGGATTATCACGGTGGCAGTTCTGAAATGCAAACCATCAATTTACTGTTACCACTTGTTGTTTGTCTTACTTGGAGAATGTCAAGGCTGTTTTTGAACCCTGAGGCGTAGAATGAGTAACATTTGAAAAAGGGGGCGATTTTCGAGAACGCCCTAGCCACATTATTGGGGTTTTTGCTCAATTCTTGATGCAACTCTTTATTTATTTTAAAAATTGTGTTAAAGTCGCCAAATAAAAGGTCGAAATCTCTAGGTTTTAGCAACATTTTCTCTTGCACTGGTTTGATGAAAAACTCCATTATAACTTCCAAGTGTCTAAGATAGTTTTCCTCAGATTCGAGTATTTCCCTCAGGATATTTGCCTTTTGATTGCGACGAGTGGATTGCTCGTTTTCGCATTCGATTTCTTCGAGGGCTTCGGTCATCCGTTTTCGAGTTTTTGAGGTTAGAAGATTTCGTTCGTTGATCACTTTCTTGAGCTCAACACTAAAATCGACGGCTGCTTTTGGGGTCACAGGCTCGAGGAGGACGTAGCACGGTTTTACTTCCGGAGTCCACATTTTTCCGGTTTTTTGCAAATTAATAAAAAATCTCTATTTGAATTTGAATAATAACAAAACCGTTTGAAATAGTGGTGGCATCTGGTGGGGTCAGAAACGCCAATGACATTGCCAACATTAAAATGTCACTGTCCCCAGAAATTTTTGGCTTAATTTTTTATGTTGATTGATGAATATTTTTAAATTAAGTGGAGTCAACTTTTTTGATTTTTTGAAAATTTGAAAATTTTCAAAACAATTACTATGGGTAGTAATAAAGCGATCAGTAAATAATTCAATTTTGATCAGTATGAAATGATAATAAATGATAATAATGATCAATATTTAATTAATTTTTGCACAGTAAAAAATTAAAGTAATTAGTATAATTAGTATATTTTGCACAGTAAAAATAATAAATGCTAAGTAAAGCAGGCGCAGTATTTTATTGTAATTTGTTCAGTAAAAAAATCAAAATTAGTAAAACAACAGAAAATTTAAAGAATTTTCAGTCTTGATTACATAACAATGTATGGCCTTTGCGCAATGTTATTTATTATGATTTTCTACAGTGTGTACTCGTTTCGAAATTCTTGACTTGGCTCCTTCGTCGCCTCGTCCAGAAACGTCTTACTGGTACTGTAAAATCTCATTTACCAGACTTATAACGTAAATATCTACTAGGTATTCCTGCGCATTTAATTTGTTCCTAATTATTACTACTATTACGGTTTGGTACAGTGGTGGTGTCAGGAGTGCCAATGTGATTGCGAACATTGAAGTGTTACTATCACCAGACATTTTTTCCTTGTTTTTAAGTTGAATATCTTCATATGAGGCATTTTTAATTAAAAAATTGCTGAGTTTTAAGATATAGACTAGAAAAATAATTTTTCTAAAAGGACGTAAACAAAGTTTCATTGTTGTGTGATTGCCCTAATAATTCGTAATAAGGTACAGTTTCATAATACAATGAATAAACTTTATCTTACGCATGTATTAAAAAAAATACATACATATGAAAAAGCTATACACAGTATGTTCTCGGATTGAGTTTACAAGAGGAAAAATTTTTTTCTTTGCAGTTTTGACGTAAAACCAAAGATACAGAATTTTTCCTCTTGTAAACTCAATCCGGGGACATACTGTTTACCCTTAATTTTTTATTATTTTAATAAATTTGTAGTTATCTATTAAATTTAGCGTTAAATTAAAATATTTTATTGAATAAAAGTGAGGATTAACACTATCTTCCTTATTTAAAATAAAATCGTATTTATTTTTATTAGATATACAATACAATACAATACAATCTCAGTTTTGTGTTGTGTGTTTTCACCCACAGAATTTTTTATTTAGATCAAAATTTCGTAAAATGCGTGAATTTTCTACTCAAAAACTCTTTAAATACTTGAAGTAGGTGAAAATTACATCAGCCTAAAAAAATTAGTATTCCTGTTTTAAAAATAGTATATTACATATCAAAGTGGAAAGTGTTTCATTTCTGTTGGAGAGACTTAAATTAGTTTACTTTGCTTTGGATTGGTAGAGTTTTTGAGAAATTAAAATTCATGGGACTTTCACCAGAGCATTTCGAAGGTTATCACTCATCATGCATGTTGAAATGATAAGAAGATGGTAAGATGATAAGGTTTGAGTGGGTTGGTACTAACAAAAAATTCCAGACACATGAAAAATATCATCTATAAGAGCCACCTAATAAATGGCATAGAACATATAGAACACGCATTTCGAACAAAATAGAAATCTGATTTTAATGCATATTATTTTGCTCACTCGGCTTTAATCAGTTTTGATTTACAGAAAACAGTTATATGATTGTAAATGAGCAGATATGTATTCAATTATTTTATCAATTTGTTACATCTAAAAAATAGGCCATGTTTAATATTTATCTTACGATACTATTGTCTGTAAAACAATACCTAGCAAGATTTTCTATTAACAGTACCTAAAAATGCGGGTTACAATAGTGACATTATTCGCCTTTTTGGGCTTTGCACATGGCGTTAGTTATGAAGGGTAGGTAATCATCAAACATTCTAAATTGAATTGCAATAATAATATTTCAGATACAAGGTGTATACAGTATCACCTACAACAGAATTACAAAATGCATATTTACAAGAATTGGAATCAAGTCCCGATTTCGACTTTTGGTCAAAAATTAACAAAGTTGGTGCTCCGGTCGTGATTATGGTAGCGTCTAACGTCCAAAAACCATTTGAAAATTATTTAACAAGACATAATATTAATTTTGTGGTCACAATTGAAAATGTGGAACGGTAGGAATTTTCCATTACCAAAACCAATGTTTTTACCCAAATTTTAGAACCATCCAGACTGAAAAAGCCTACCACACTTCTCGCCAAGCTCGAAAATCAACTCGTATCACTTTCGACCATTATCTCCGCCACCATGAGGTATACCATACTTTACCAAAACCATTTAAAAAACCATTTTTCAGATCAACTCGTACTTGGCCCAACTGGCAAAAACCAACCCTTCGCTGGTCACTCTTGAAACCATCGGTTGGTCGTACCAAAACCGTTCCATGGACCTCGTCCGCATCTCTTCCGGTCCTTCGGATCCACCAAAACCGGTCATTTTTATCGACGCTGGCATACATGCCAGAGAATGGATAGCCCCAGCCCTTGCCCTTTACATCATCAACCAACTGGTTGAAAACCCCGATAATTTGAACCTAACGAGTGACATCGACTGGATTATCCTCCCTAGTGTCAATCCAGATGGTTATGAGTACACTTGGACCACGAACCGTCTCTGGCGCAAAACCATTTCTCCAGGTCTGGTTTGCGATGGTTGCGATGCTAATCGCAACTTTGATTTTCATTGGATGGAATCAGGGGCTAGTAATTGGGAGTGTTCGGATACCTACGCTGGAAAGACGGCTTTTTCCGAAGTGGAAACTCAAAATTTGAAAAATTTTTTACTCAAAACTCCAAATATTGAGGCTTATATCACTTTGCACAGTTATGGGCAATATTTCTTGTACCCTTGGGGCTATATTGATAAGCTTTGCGATAATTGGGAGGAGTTGGATCAGTTGGCTCATACTATGGATGATGCGATTAGTGCTGTCAATGGGACAAGGTATACCATTGGTGGGTCAACGGCTACGCTGTATGCCGCAGCTGGGGCTAGTGATGACTGGTCAATGGGTGTGAGGAATGTTAGTATTGTGTACACATGGGAGTTGCCAGGAGGGGGCACTTATGGCTTTGATATGCCTCCCGAGAGGATTGAGGGAGTTGTGGTCGAATCGTTTGAGGGGGTCAAAGTTTTGGCCGATTTTGTTGCCAAAAATAGGAAATAATTTTTTCATTTTGGTAAACTTGTAGTAAAAGTAAAACAGATAATAAAATGGTTTGAACGTTGTTAACAGATAATAAAATGGTTTGAACGTTGTTAACGAGATTTTGCTTCAAGAGTCCGAAAAATAACAAATATAAGGCCGAAATGGCATTACAGGTGAATTTGATCTATGTTCTCCAAGTGTAAGTAAGTAAAATAGAAGTTTCTAAGTCAACTCTACGTTGAGTGATAAAATGTTTTATCAAAAAGGTCAACAAGGATCATGTTTCGGGAAAATTTTTGCCATTATTAGCCAATAATTTAGAGCTCTAATTTAAAAGATTAAAATAAAATAAAAAAATTTAATACGATGAATAGAATCACATTATTTCAGTGGGAAAAGTTCAAAGAACTAAATAATTTTTTTTAAATTAGAGCTCTAAATTTTTGGTTTTGCCGAAACATGTCTCTTTTTGACCTTTTTGAAATAACATTTTATTACTGAATGTGAAGTTGACTTAGATATTACTATTTTACTTAGAAATGACATTATTTTAGCCTTTTGTGAATGTTAAAGTAAGGTTTTAAATTAAAAACTTATTTTTTCTCTAAAAATTTTCCAATTTATGTTAAAATAATGGCTTTAGTTTTATTTGTTTTAAGCACGTTTTTGAGTTAAAAACATACCTTACTGTTCGCTATTTCGCTCAAAATCATCTATAGTGGTTATTATTATACTTTGAAAGCACATTATTTTTTTTATCTTATTGAAAAAAAGATCATTGTTTGGCGATAAATAGTTATTAAAAAAATTGCTAATAAGGCAAAATTTATACTAGACTTGAAATGTAAATATAAGTCAAAATATTAACCATTTTCAATATCCTATAGCCAAAATAAAAAAAAAGAAAGTATTTGTTTATTTCTTTATTTTATTTTACATTTCATATTGTCACACTTATCTACTTTTTCTGTATTTTTTTATTTTACTTACCTTTTGTTTATATCTATTGTTTTATTCTATTACGTCTTGTTTAACAATACACATTTCACTACATTACACTTAGGTAAGTAAATGTTTCAAAGTTCTTAGGCGCCATATTTTAACATTTATTTGAATTGTTAGTTATTGAACTGGAATTAGAGAAAAACTGCTGACGTTTGAACTTTGCCGGAAAGCGGAACTTTATGTCGCTGCGCTAGCACGCCACCGGCTAATGTCTCTGCTTTAATCTAATATTCACATACAAAATAATAAAATACAATAAATAATTCACATATGAAAATTTTTAAAATTAATTTTCTGCTTATCTATAAGGTTTTATACACTTTTCTAAGTCTCTTAGCTCTTTAGAAGTGTATTGGATTGATCAATTTTGATGTCTTTATTTTTTTTTTGATATTTGTCAAAATTTTGGTCGATTTTAGGAACTCGGAGCGTATATCAGCTAATAACTCCGACACTATTATCAATAATAATCCTTTTGTGTTTAGTACTGTTGGAAAGCACTTTTAATTTTTTGTCTTAAAAAAAATAATGTTTTGGCCATCAGAAAATAGCTAGTAAAGCAAACTTAATAACGTAGCACGAACCACTAATACAATATTTATGAAAAAAATTGCTTTCAAGGGCTGTCAATTGGTTTGTGTCCCTCTGGATTTCGTCTCGTATACAGGGTGTGTCCCAATCTAGGGCAATAAATCCAAATTAGCGAATGAAAAATACAGACGAGGCGAGTGTTCATAAAGTTACAGATCACGTATCGAGGCAGCTTTAACATTTAGAGGCGAAATGTCACCCTAGAGCTTTATTTGGATCCCAACCGCACTATAATGACCGAAAGGTCATTGAAAATTTATTATCATTAGCTGTCATATTTTCTGAAATATTGGCGTGTGTGTCTTCGATTGGTCGCCCAATTTACGTCACGTTGATGGATCGCTCGAGGAGTTGACAAAATCAAGATCGAGAGAAAAAGAATGTTTTGCAAAATATTTATAGACAACTGAATTTAAATTTTGTTGATTAAAACTCTAAAATCCCTCTTTGTCTATTTACAGCATTCGGTAAAATATCCCTAGGCGTCACGACGCTCGCATTGGAGAACAAAGCCAACTGTCCGTACTAACCACAACCAAACTACCCTTTCTTCCATAAGAGAACCACACAATGCTTTATTCCAAATTTGGCAGTCTTTTTTCCTTACAAGACAAATAATCAAAGTCCAACTAGCTTCCAGTCAAGTAAATAGCAATTAGAATATAATGTAATCGCAATAAAATGAGATTTGTGATAACGGTAGTGAGAAATTACGTGTTTTCTGCGTTTTAGGGGAGAGATGCCAACTGACAGGATAATTTCCTGAACGGACGGTCAGACATGCAAATGGAAATTGCGAAAATTAGGAAATTTGCTTAACTACGCACGAAGGAATTAAAAAAATATGGAAAAATGCAAACAAAATACAACCTTATGGTGTAATGATAGAGAAATATGCTATTAGCCCAGACAAATTACACAAAAATAGGGCGATCGGTGGAAAAAAATCCTAGAGTTGGATTTTTTTTAACGCTTTCTTTATTCTTGGGTAAACATATATCAAAAGTTCCCGATGGTGGGGGGCGAGCTCGAGGAGGGGGAGGGGGCTAAAGGTGTCTTTTTTAGTTGGGGAACGCTTTACACATATAAATACTTACCATATACTAATGAAATGTGTTTCAAAGGATTTTTAATGCAATTTTATGTAGACTCCAACCTTTTGAAGCCTACGGTTAGTCCTACGACAAAAATGAATAGCACCATTTTTGTAGGAAATTTTGATGCAGAAATAGACTTCTACAGAAAATTCTGCATAAATTACATAAATGATGAACTTGTATTTATAGACCCTCGTGACTCCCCCTTCATTTAGTGAAGTGGACCCAGTAAATTCAATTTACTGTCAGTTTTTTTTAAATTACAAGACTATTAAATGCAGATAAAGCACATTTTTTTAAATGATGTTTTTTGTCTGCCCTGTAACTGGCTTACGGTTAGTCCTACAACAAAAATGCAAAGGAACATTTTTGTAGAAAATTTTGTAAGCTTTAATTTTGATAAGACCTATAGGAGTGATAATTTCCGAGATATAAGCAAAAAAAACAAAAAAAAACACCTTTAACCCCCTCCCCCTCCTTGAGCTCGCCCACCACCTTCAGGGACTTTTGATATATGTCTACCCAAGTGTAAAGCTTTTAAGAAAAATTCCAACTCTCTAGTATTTTGTTCCACCGATTTATCTAATTTGACTGGGCTATATCTTTTCAAAGCCATTGTGAAATTTATTCATCCAAAAGGAATAGTATGTTACATAACGAGCACGGAAAGTGATAAATAACGCACCAGCGGGAAAGTTGCGCACGAGGCGTCAGCCGAGTGCAGGCAATTCCGCGAGTGCGTTAGACACTTTCCTGCAAGTTTTGTACACTATTTTTCCTGCGACCATAAATTTTTTTTTTCATAACGATTTATTTTTTATATCGCATACAAAAACACGTCGAATAACGATTTATTTTTTATAATGGATACAAAAAAAAATACGTTGAATGAAAAAATACAAAACATTCGAGTGTGAATTGTGCGTTATGCGTTAGATTTCTAACACACAGCGCGAAAACAAATCGCACAGGTTTTTCACCTCGTATGATATTGCCAATTTTCGCGCATATGTAATTGTGCGTTATGATCTAGTTTCGTATATGGTCGTGGGAAAATTAGTTTTTACTCAGTAAGAGGAAATAATACCATATATGGAGCTACTTTATAAAAGTGGGGATAATTTATTTTTACCGCTGTTCCGATTATCGAGTGCATGTTCGGATCATAGCTCGATATTCGGATTACAACAGGTTCGTATTAAAGAGGTTTAACTGTATTTTAATTCAATTTATTTACCAAACTAGACAAAACAAAGTATAAATCCGATCAGCTCTGGATTTGTACTTTCGTCAGGTAGAATGAAATTTAAATTTTTTATTAATATTGTTTATTCCACAATCACGTCTACATGAAATAATTACAAACGGTTTTCAATAAAAGTTTAATGCTTTTCCATAATTATTCCCAGCGGAAATACCACTAATAAAAGCAATAATAATCCACCCGGTTCTTATTTATGAGTAATTTAAGTAATGCACTTCTGCCACTAGTTCTATTATTAGCCGTAAACTCGTTTGAAACTTCCCATTTTTCCGATTCGAATGTGTACCCACTTTTAATCTTTTACCCTGTGTAAAGGATGGATGCGGACTTGATTAGTACGGAGTGTGTTGAGGTATCCTTCAGCATATGATTGATGAGACTGCATGTCTGCTCCACGTCCATCGTCAAAATTAGTCCACTCACTCTATTTTAACTTTTAATAACTTATGACACTTTTAACACGCCATTGATTCGGTATTAAATTGCTCGCGAACGCAATTACAACAATGTAACGACTCAAAGGCTTGACAAAAATTCCAATGATTAATTGTCAAAAATTAAAAATCGCTTTCAAAACGATGAATATTCAAACGACTATAAAACGGATACACGAATACTCACTCAAACGAAAAATGCCACTCGGCGAAAATCAGTTAACATCATGATTTTATGTTTATTCATCGGGTTTTTGTATGGGGAGAGAGCAGAAGAAGCGTTTAAATCTTCAACAAGCTATCCAGAAATTCATTATGTCAATGAAAAGGATGAAATGGTCAAATTGAAATTGAGTCTTTAAAAGAAAACACAAAAATATAATAAACAAATTTTAATCTATTACTAACATGGCTGTGTTTTCTGTTCCTTCTCTCTCATCTTTTTTTGGACATTTTTTTGTTGTTGATTTTTGCTTTGTTTTATGGGTCTTTATTACTCTTATCTTTATTCTCTATTTTATATTTTTTTTCCATTCTTTTTTCTTATTTTCTTCTTATTGCTAGTTCTTTATATACTGTTCTGTCTTCTGTTCTTTTTTCTTTATTCTCTAATGTTTTTATTCTTATTCTATTTATTTTTTGTTTTATATCTTTAATCTTTTAGCCTTTATTTTAATCTTTTTCCCTATATTTTTTATTTTATTTTGTGTCTACTGTTCGTAG